TAAAACTGCAGTAAAGGATAAAGTAAAATAAAGATTTTTAACCATAAATGAAATGTAGGCTACAATAGGCCTGTAGTCTCTCATAAAATACCTGTAACTGGCTCTGTTTGTAATTGAGTAACTCAGTAATTGAGATAACAATAGCACTTTGAGTTATATACCGTTTCACAGTGCTTTACAGCCCTCTCTAAGCGGTTTACAGAGTCAGCATATTGCCCCCAACAATCTGGCTCTTCATTTTACTGACCTTGAAAGGATGGAAGGCTGAGTCAACCTTGAGTCTGGTGAGATTTGAACTGCCAAATTGCAGGCAGCCAGCAGGCAGCAGAAGTAACCTGCAGTACTGCACTCTAACCACTGTGCCACCATAGAGATATTACATATGGTAGCCTAATGGCTACATATTTAAATTTTAAAATGTGTTTACTTTAGACAGTTGCCTTGAAAATAATCACTTCCCAGAAATTTTATTTCTGACAACCTTTGCCAGGTAGCACTTTTTTTTCTGAGAACCTGTTCCAGGAAGCACTTTCAGCTCCATCCTACTACAATTGTAAGTGATGTTCTTTGTCTCACTTGGTTTAAATGGCCCAAATTGATTATTGGATCCAGCTAGCTTAGTCTATTGGGGAATGGGGGGGGACATACTTGGTCTACTGGAAAGGCTATCTAGAGCAAACAGGTCATGGGAAGCAGACATGGGTGTGTCACAAATTGTGTAATACTTTCATGACCAATATTCTAACAAGCCCCATCCTTGACAATTACCAGCATTGCAAGAGTTTGACACTGCTAAAACTCTTTGAGAGTACCAAACTGCTCACACATAGTGCACACATATCCTTCTATGGGATAGAAAGCATCTGAGAAAACAACACACCAAGGGGAAGTGACCGTTCCTCATCAGGCATACAGGACATAAAGGAGAACAAATAACTTCCTAATCAGGGGGCTGGCAGTTGCCTCTAGAGATGCAGCTGGGTTGCAGAACACCTTGTGTGATTTGGGGAAAATAACGGCAGAAAAGGGAAGCAACAGACGTTTCTCATAACCCACAGTTTTCCCTGTGAACTTAGAAGGGGAGGCAGAGTCTGATGGGGAGAGTGACGTAATGGTAGATGGGAATGACTTTGGAAGAGGACAAGGCGATGCAGCTAAGGGAACAGACAGACAAAAGGCAGCTAAGCCTGCAGCAGGAATGTGGGCAGGGCAAGCGGCTTAGAAGAGGTCCTCTGTAGTTTCTTGGGCTATAAAAGAGATGGTGGGGGAGAGGTACTTTCAAACATGCAAGATTCAATTTATGTACTTTTACAATAAAGTAGAATTAGCTCATCTAATTATATTTTCTGTCTGGTCTAACACATAAGACTGACACAAACAGATTGCAAGATATTATTATTAGCATACTGATGACACTTCATCCTATACTGGCAGATGGCATCTCCTAGCTTCTTCATATAGATGTTAAATAAAATAGGGTGAGTTTAATATTTTATAACACTACATAGCATTATTATGTGTTGTCAACTAAATTGTAAAAACCATGTACCTGGTATGTCTTCAGATGTGAAGTCTGCAATATTTTCCATCACTGATGTCAGCCTTAATGATATCTCAGCTATTAATACAGGATTAGTGGTTCCAAGATTAATGGTGTGAATTACTTCATTAATTACATAAAGAATGTGGAGCCACTAGGCAAATAAATAAAATTAAAGCCAAGATTGTTAGAAATTTATTATAGAATTTACAAATAGGAAATAAATACAGTTAGTCTTCACCTTACAACAATTCACTGAGTGACTGTTCAAAATTACAAAGGAACTGAAAAAAATTACTTATGACAGTTTTTCGCACTTACAACTGTGGCAGCATCCTATAGTAACATGATCAAAATATGGTTGCTTGGCAGCTGGCATGTATTTATGATGGTTACAATGTTCCAGGGTCATATGATCAACTCTTGTGACCTTCTGAAAAGTCACAATTGGGAAGTCAATTCACTTAATAATTATGTAGCTAACTTAATTGCAGTGATTCCCTTTTTACAATTGTGGCAAGAAAAGTCGTAAAATTCACTTAACTACTGTCTTGCTTAGCACTGGAAATGTTGTGCTCGTGCTCAATGGTGGTCTTATGTCAAGAAATTCCTGCATACACACAATGCACATACCAAGATAATTTTGCTTACTCATAGTTTTTGGCCAGGCAATCAGTGCAATTACAGATGCCCGTTCCCACTTACCCAAGGCAAAAGCTAGGGAAAGGCTAGGAAGCTTACCCATTAAATTTCAATTTAGTCAACAGTCCATTTAATATTTCTATCCCATAGTTTCTGACATTTATCGAATCCTATTGCATATCCAAAGTTTTTAGCCCACACAACTATTACTTCCTAAGGAACTCCTTTGTTAAATCAAGCTGAACTGTCCAGAATTGCTCCAGAGCATTTCTATGTCTGTAGTCTTCTACATGCTCAGCTTTTAGCTAATTACATATGGCTTCCTTGTCCTATATGGCATATCATAAGCAAATTGAACTTAATTTTACTTACAGAAATTATCTTAGTTATACTAGGCAGAGTTTAAATAGCAAATACCCACTTCAAAATCAATAAGTTAGCTGATTATATGTATGTAACTTCATATTGATCTGCGAGTTTAAAACTTTATGATAAAAGATTACCTTGAGTGTTTGGTATTTATGAATGAACTTTAAGAAGTTTCTTCCACTCATCTGGATCTTTTGAATTCCCACTTTACACTTTTGCCACAAAAACATGGTTGCATCAATTATCATTTCTCTGGCCGGGAGGTGAACCTGAAAGATAAATATTTTTCAAATGCTCCTTAACAAATAGTTGTCAAGTACTTTTCTATTCGATAAGTTACTTTTCTCCAAATGCCTGATTCTCATTATTCCTTCAGTAATTGAAAGACCTGCATATTTGCATCCCTCACAAAGTACTTATCAACAATGTTAAATTTTTAAAATGTGCAAAAATGTCAGAAATCAAAACTATATTTCGATAAAAGTACTTTGCATTTTATTGATTCATATTATGATTTTGTAATATCATATACTGTTTTTCAACTTTAAACATATTTATTTTAGTTTTTAATTTCAGATGCACTTGACATACATTGCTGTTTGAAGCTGATTAGATCACACTATTTCTTTCAAAGTTACTCAGTGGTAAGCTCAGTGCATGCTGAAAAAATATTGAAAAGATCAGAACACTTTCAGGTATTCTTGTCTGGCTCAATTTATGCTAATTCAAATTGCACTTCATTTAGATTTTGCTTAGTGTAACCGTTTTCATTTATAAATTATGGACTGAAGTTAACTACAATTAAATAAACCACATATTAGAAAAATATCTTAGTCCAATCTTTTTTAACAAAGTGACCCAAAGAAGTTAAAATGGTAGGAATATTACTCATCTTAGACTATATTCTTTTGTATCAAGAAGGAACACAAATCCAATAGAAAAGAATATATATATAGCATAAAGTGGAACTCCTGGGATTTTTTTTAATTGAGGGGGGAGGCTGTTCCTGGAACCTGCTTATTTTCTTGCAGAGCTTTCACTACCAGGTGAGGTAATATCATCATTGCAAAGGAGGTGGTGAACATACCTAATATTCCTTCCTTCTCCTATCTTCCCCACAACAACATGCCTCTGAGGCGGATCAAAATCTTAATGTCACTGCACATGAAAAACTCAACCAAAGTTTCAACAAAGAAATTGTTAACGTTTTAGATCAAACTGAATACAAAAATGCTAGGGGATAACTGAAATCAGGCATCAACAGAAGCATAGAGATAAACCACATTTACACCCCATATACAAGTTAACACTTCCATTTCATATACTTTATACCAATGATTTTTACTATACCTCTTCAGATTTACAGACAGAAGAATAAAGAGTCCTTGCCAGCAGAAAAAGATCATCAGTAATTTTTGGTGGTTGTACTGGTCCTTCTGGAGTTGCAATTTATTTTAAACAGAAAAAAATCAATATTATATTTACATATTTGTAAAATTCAAATTCTCCATTTGTTAGGGTTAGGTTGAAAATGAACATTATGAAAATGAAATAGAGTTTCAATTTTATATATTTCTTTTTGAATAAAATTAACAAAATGGGAATAAATCTATATGTAACAAAATGCCAACTTAAATAAGAATTCACTTTTTTTTTTAATAACAGCAAACTATAACACATCAGCAACAAAAATATTCTTTTTCCTCCAATCTTTTTTATTTCATCTTCTGTGTGAAAATATAAGTCTGTGATTTGTTTCTTTTTAATAGAATGTAATATAATAGCTTGATCAAAACTAAAGTAATAGCCTGATCCTGTTGTGCCATCAATTCATGCGTTCAAGGTTTAAAGTAGACATTACTGCAGCATTTCTAGACTATTAACACAATTTAAAACAAAATGTAATACCAATATACTAGTACTGGAACAAGGTCACTACTGCAACATATTAATTTAATGTTCACTAATTTAGAAATCCCAAATAAAGGATTATTTTATTTATCAGAAAGACCATATTTTAACTAAATTAATGAAATTCAGCAAATCACTCTAGTGGTAATTTGTAACCCACCTGAAAACCCTATATATTTTTTTCCTGGATTACGAAAAACAGCTGTTTCTCGGATAGCATCTCCTTGAATGCACAAACCATGTCTTGCTTTTCTTATGGTCAATAAATTCTGCATTAGAAGTAGTAGTTTGACTTCTGCTTCTGCTTTCTTCCACACTGGATTGCTTTGATTCTAATACATAGAGAAATAAGAATTAATATAGGGCTTATTATTATTTTTAAATAATGAAACTACATGATCTATGATAGTATTATAGAACTTAATAAAATTAATAAAATTCATTACCTGAAGAAATAAATAAAACAGTACAATTGCATGATCAAACGAATCCCATTCCTCATAACTGAAGACTATCTTAATAAACCTAAATGCAGCATCTGCGGAAATACCATTTTTTCCTGTAAAAGTAATATAAACAGTTTAAGAAAATTCCACTTTTTGTAAACTGTAATAAAAACCCACAGTGTTTTAAACTGTTATGTCCATATTACTAATTTTGCTCAACCGTACATCTTCAACTGCATATCATGTCATAATCATAATTCTACTTCGTTGATATACAGTACGCTACAAGTAATCCTCAGGTTATGATGACAATTATGGTCATAATTTCACTCAATAAGTAATGTTGCAAAACACATTATATAGCTACATCACTGAGAAACCGAAATCCCAGGTAGTTCTGGTTGCCATCATAATCCCAGACATGTGGGTTGTTAAGTGGAAAAGATGCAGGAATTTCAGGTAAGAGGTGCAGGCCTACTGAAAAAGTTTGGGAAATTGCCATGGGAAGCTGGGGTAGTTAGGAGAGGACTGATGAGGACTGGTGCAAGTCACATACTAGTCATAGAAGGCTAGGGAAGAGCTTGGGATGGCTGGTGCAAGTTATGCATGAGTTGCAGGAGACAAGTGGCAGTTGAAACAGAATTCTTTGCAGATGGGGAGGGGGAGCAGAATGTCTAATTCCTTAGAATCAGAGTGTTTTAATCTCTCTATATAAATACTGTATAAGAAATGCTAATGATCTGATAGTCATTTCAAAAAAATCCTTTCTTAGCAAGCACCTAGAAGCCAAGAGGAACATACAGGCCAAATTTCAAGTTTGTAGACTTTACGGTTCTGGAGATTTTATGATTATGTTTGAGTGGTATTTCGCTTTTATATATATAGATAAGCTAGTTGGACATTTTCAGGTTGAAGATGGACTCCAAAACTTCCATTCCCAAACTTACTGCCAGTTTTTAGAAGACAGTTTCTTCAAGCATCAAGGATACCATCGACCATGGTATCCTTCTGCGACGACTGCGGGAGATAGGGGTGGGCGGCACTGTTTTGCAGTGGTTCTCCT